TAAATCATATTAAATCATCATGTTTACTGATTAGAGCACCATTAAATCACCATTAAATCATCAATTAAATCACAATTTTCCCTATATTTTTCTCACCATTTCTGTATCGAATGTCTGAGCTTTGCCACTGAGTTCAGCTCGGCTGGCATCTCCGCGGCAAGCTGCTGCCTGGTGCGGCAAGGGTCATGTTTGTATAGCAAGCTCCACAGCTATAGCCGTTAACACTTATAAAGTTATAACTGGTTTTAACAAAAACGTGCAAGTGATATGTTTCACCTTATAGTTGGAGATACAATCCCATTTATAGCTGTTGAGGGCCATAACTGTGTTTTTTTTAAGCAACCCCCAGAAACATGGGATATAACCGGACAAATGTTGATTAAAAAAACATTATAAATTGCGATTGAAATAATTATATATCCACAAACCCAACAGTTCTTCGAGCTATGGCTACCAACTTTCATATAAATTAGCTATAAAACATTATAAAACCATATACTGTGAAACCAGCATCTTGGCACCAAGCGCAAGCCAATATGAATGAAAGATGCCACCTGTCGCAGCCCAACGCACTCTTTGCAGAAGGGGGGGCGCGGGGGCGCATATACCACGGACCCAAAATTGGGGAAGCTGGGCTACTAGTTACTAATTTTAGTAGTGACCCCATTTTTGGGTCCAGAATCCTGTTTTGGAACCACAAAACACATACAGGAGCTATTCAATACGGACAGCAAGTATTCAATACGGACAGCAAGTGTGCTCGTGCCGACGCAAGCTGATAGCAGCAGTGATACTGTATATATACATATTGCTCTATAAAATGACTATTAAACATGATGATTGCACCATGAACAAAATAACCGTTTAACCACCAGAAAATGCGATTCAACGATCGGAAATGGATGTCTAACACGGTCTAACCATGTCTAACATGATGATGTAAGGGTCTAAGAGAAACCACAATGGGGCAATTATGTATATATATATATATATGTATACATACATGGGTATATAAATTATATATATATATGGGTATAGAAATAAAAACGTATTTCGCTAACCTTAAAATCTAGGCCGGGGATAATTCCCTTATACACCATGATTCCAATGAGATCACAGGTCACGAAAAAAATACCCAAAGATATGTAAGCAGTAATATGACAATGCGGTTGGTGGTATACCTAACCCTCTGAAAAATATGGGTTCGTCAGTTGGGATCATGAAATTCCCAGCTGATTGGGAAAAATAAAAAATCCAAACCACCAACCAGCAATGAGTAGTATTGAGTACCTTGGGTGGAATATGTGGGTGACTTCAACATATAATTTTGTTTGGTATAACTAACCATTTGGCTTAATCTATATTTAACAATCAATATTCATGATTTAATGGGTGACTCAATTTGCTTGAATGTTTAATGAACTCTCATTGGCATAATGGGGATATCGTGAGATAGTATGGGGATTTAACCATTAACGGGGATTTTTCATGGGATATGAATGGAAGAACCAATACCTGGTTGGTGGTTTCAACCCTTCCCAAAAATATTATATAGTCAGTTGGGGCTATTATTCCAAATATATGGGGAAAAAAACATGCTCCAAACCACCAACCAGATATGATATTTACAAACCACAAGGTTGGGCCACCTTTCGATAGCGGTGTGTTGGAGAAAACTTCCCGAAAAAACATGTTGGGTTTAGGGCGATATATCGAACTAGTTAGTTAGATGGGTTTATAAACCAAGAAACATAAAGTTTTGGGGCCCCACTAGGCAGAGTTTAGTAAACCCCGATTGCAAATTTGTGGAAGGTTTTTATTGTTCCATATCTTTGTTGGGGCTTACTGTCATCCGCAATGTTGGTTAACCATCCACTACGAATGACATATAATGGAATTATAAACAACAATAGATGTACAACTAACAATATCATGTAGGGATATAATGGAATAATAAAACATAATATAACCAACAAATACCAACAATACAGTTTTGAACTAATATTGATAGTCCACCAATACCCCAGCAGCGTGTACAGTGTACTGAGATACAGGTCATCTAAAGTGGCAGGGCACACACCAGTACGTGTACCACCAATTATTATTGGATTCGACAAACTTCCTTCAACCAAACATGAGTATAGGCAGTATAGGGGTTGATCCAACAAATATGTGCAGCTCCATTTAGTATAGTTCTGTATAGAGTGAGCTGGGCACAGTGTTCCAAACTGCTTCATGCATGACACGTGAAGGCAAGATCTTGCACTACAATGCCCTATATAAGAATGTGGGCAAGGGTCAAAACAGGCTACTGCACCCCCAAATATGGATGTATATTTGTATGTATATATATCTATATACATAATAATATATATATATATATATAATATATATATATATATATATTAACATATTGATAGCAAACCTCAACAAATATAAAATAGTAAAATCTCATAAAAAGATAGTGACAAATCTCGATTGTATCTTTTGGGGACGGTACCCAACGGAAGACCTCGTGAAAAGGCCACAGAAAGAGCTTGGCCTGTACGGAATCGATTCGTGCCGGCCAAGGTATGCACTGGGTGTGTTACAGCGTGTCCACAATCATCATAAATCTGGCTGAATTGGAATGGTTCCACCAACTGAAATGAGGTCATTTTGGGACAATCCTTGTTTCAGGTTAATGATCGTTCCTACTATAAGGTGATTGTTTTTTATGAAAATCATACTAATATTATATATACATATATATATATTTGAGGGCCATTCCCCTTCAAACCAATAATGGTTCACCAAAAACCAGGGACTTACCCAAACTAGCAACCTCCCAATCCCAAAGGACTTTACATCGATTACTACCTCTGGGTGCCACCCAAGTATATCATTTCCTGACAATTTTTAGTAATGTATCTATGACCACTGAAAAGTTTGGGGGGTGAGACCCAAATGGGGTGAGAAAAAACCCTTTAAGAATATGAGAAAACATTGGAAATTAGGGAAAATAATGGAAGATAATGAAAAAAATGACAACATGAATCCATAAGTTGGGATATCTGAATGAACTCAAATGCCCCATATGCTCCATGGTGCTGGTATATTTACCTACAACACTTGGTGATTTTTAGGATATTGTATTCCAGCACCATGGAGCATATAGGAATATGACTATTCAGTGGCTCAATTTTATTGATGGTCCTTCCAAATCAATCGTCATGGCAACGGGGCTTGTCCACTTGTTCAGCCACAAAATCGGTTGAACTTGCACTGCACTCTAAAAAGATCATTCAATCGTACACATGGTCATTATTCTCCATGTTACCCTGGGGTAAACTAACACAGATGTGGAAAACCAATGGTGTTCGGTTCGGAAAATTATGTACAAATTTGGTGTGGTGGGTTAAAACCACATCTCTTTCTAGACCATACAGGAGGGTTCTCAACGGAAATGTTCATGTTTAGTTTCTGATGTTCTCAGCACTTGTCCAACCCTTTTGATGCCACATGAACAGTGCTCAAAATACTGGGTGGTTGATAGGAACTGCCAGAGTCGATTAGTAGAATCCCCAATGTATGTATACTATGTATATATATATATATACCTAGAAATCCCAAGTCTGCGTTTTTTTTGTATTCGTACGATTTCAGCTCAAAAAACGTATTTGTTTATATAAAAACGTATTTGTTTCCAAAACAGGTCTTTGCTGGGTTTCTGTGCGCACGGCCTTTTTGATCAAGATGACCAAAAACCTGATCCGACCATCCTCTGCGGCTGAAATGCCTGCCCCTCAGGGGTCTGGCATACCATGGAGAAGGTTTGCATATATCATCATGCAGATAATGTCCAAAACCCTATGTCCTCCCATTATACAGGCTTTAATTTAATATATAAAGCTAATAGGTCCCACAATGAACTGTAATGATCCAATTATATATATGGTTCCAACCGTCATGAACCGACAGGGGTCTTGAATGCTGCACATGTCATCCCCAAATTTAAAAATTTAGTTGGGTATACACACAACACAACAGTAAACATTTTCAATGGGTCCTTCTCCTTTGTCTCATTCGCCGCAAGCGGCTTTGGAAACTTACCCCATAGCGTTGCAAAGTACGGTATATTGTCAGGCGGGTTGAAACCCGACGTGAGGTTCGAGCTATTCTCCCAATAAAGTCCTCATTCTGTTCACAATTGAAGATGCATGGGTTCAAAATAAATTGGTGGTTCCCCCTGACAGCGGCCCGTAGTTCAAACACTGTATGGGCTAAAGAGTGAAACTTGGGGCGCATACAAAATAACCTTAGGTTAATGCCCAAACATTCACGGGCACAGAACGAATATGCCCTCAATGCCTGAAGTCCTTGCTTCATCATGAACTGAGCGCAGCTTCTTGGAAGCCACAAGTCATGTCCATGCATGATCCCTAGAAAGTTCAGTAGCCCCTGGCACAGCTGCAACATAGCAGTCAACAACACTTTGTGGTCCCCTTTCATGTCCAGAAGGCAACAGCGGATGAAGAATTCTAACCACATCAAAACCAGGGTGCAATCTGAACCTTTGCCACCCATGTATGGAAATGATCGCTGCTTGTCAAAATGCAAATTTGCTTTTGTGAAGTTCTTCAAAGATGGCGTTTTCTTGTGAGTCTCGCACCAAAGTTTGAACATAGAGAAACCACGGCTGAGTCTGTCGGGTAAATTTTTTGTTTCACCCGGAAAATCGAAATACAGCAGGTAAGACAGAAGAAGCAATAAAGACGCTGTTGCTTCCCTTCCAACTCCATGTTTCACGACGTGAAACATGTCTCTCTTGTACAGACTAGCAGGGTTCTGGTCACTGTACGGCACGGAAATCAATGGTGGTGGCTCATCTGGATTCCAAGGCACTGATGCTCCAACCTTGCCGGCAGAATGGGAAGGTGCAGAGCTGATGTTCATGCCTTTGGGGCAAAAAGTAATCAAAACAAATGGTGGGCAACTACGAAACTGAACTATAGAATGAGTTAAGCAACTGTGTTCAACCAGCTGGGGTTGTCAGAGACATCGCCAAAGTTGTCGTCAGCTTCACATTCATGGCACATTTGTAAATTGTTGGCTGTTCCAACCGTCATGTATGAACGGCAAAATTCTCCAGCTTCCACATGGAATTCTGCATCCCCCTTCACACCTATGAGGGCAAAGTGGTACGTGGTAGAATTCACTTCCACACCGTCCAAAAACAAACTCTTCAGTTGCGACCCCAACTCCTTGAGGACTGTTCTAAGTACGGTGTAACTGTCCAAGCTGTAGACAGCATATGGAACGCAGGTGAAGAGGTACCGGTTCAAGAAAGAGTGTCCTGGGGTAGCACAGCAAACCAAGGGCGATGTAAATTTGTATTAGGGAGTCCTTTGACTCTAGGGTCATGATGATGATGGTGATGATGTTAGTGATGGCCGTGATGTCGGTGACGGTGAGAGAATGATGATGATGGTGGTGGTGGTGGTGATGAGGATGGTGATGTTGATGATGATAATGGTGATGCTTACGGAGAAGAAGAAAAAGAAGAAGATGATGAGGATGATGATGAGTAGGTTGATGGTCTTGATGATGAAGGGGGGGTAACACACAGAGGCACGACTGACAAAATTTGGTTGAATTATTTTGAACACCACTTGAACCAAATAGCCAACATGTTAGCAACAATTGCAGATCTTAGAGATGATCTTTACACTTTGGTGGAGAAGAAAGGGGATGTTACTCTTATAGGACATTGGATTTACATGCACAAACAAACCAGCCAGGAATCCCAATGAATTGTGAGTGTCATACTCACCGCACTGGCCCAGGCGCCGCCGCTTGATGGTGCAGGCATCGTCAGCATCGTCATACGTTCCTCCACCATTCGACGATGTTGACCGCTCTAAGCACGTGACCCCCAAGTGGCCTGTGTCATATTTCTGCTGGTTTCGCCGGTTGATGACAGGTTCTGTTGCCGTGTCCCTAAGCCCAGCAGGTAGGCCCCACACAGACTCCCATGAGTAGCATGCTATGGGGGATTTTTTGAGAGTACGGCCTTTGTCACCATGGATGCAAATTGGCACCACCCGACGGAAGTCAACAAACTGTTGAAACACTTTGTGGTCTGGTTGGTGGTCGCGGAACTTCTCCCAAAACGACTTGCACCGGGATTCGCCAGATTCAAGCGTATCCCCACCCAACAAAATTTCTGGATGCTTCGTCAACAGATGTCCAGCCATGTCAGTAACCTGCAGGGTTCCAGAGGTTGAACAATACATGCAAGACTGCATGTCCAAGCATGTTCACGGTATGGTTGAACATCAGAATAGTTTCAGTATTTCGGAGACAAAGGTTTGTATCAAAGAATGTTCTCCAGCATTTCAATACCCCAAAACTTGAACTAGTGCTTCGTAACCCATGAAGACCTTGTAGTGTGGGATGGACACCGTTTGGCCATCATCCAATGGTATGGTCAGTTCACTGATGGGTACCCTTAAAGATAGCCAGTACTTGTTGAGAAGTCGATGAGCATCTCGCTCTCCATGACTTGGATGCACTTTGGTGGCTGCATACAGGCTGCCTACGTTGGGCGCACCGTCGGCCACTGCTGCTCTGGCCATAGTTCCAACTCGGCAAGCTGGGGCCTGAGCCGCTTAAGAATGGAGGAGTTTGGAAGGTTGCAGGTTCAGCAACAACCAGGGCCAAGCGCCAGACACCGTCACCAATCTCATCCGCCAAGACTTCTAACATTTTTTGTCGAGAAGTTTCCTCACCTGGCAAAGATGGATAACGAAAGACTGGCTCACAAAAGACGCTGCCACCTGCCTTCTGAGAAATTCTCACCATATTCATTTGACTGGGGTCAGCCATTTAAAAATTATCAGCGCTGAAATCCAGGACAAACTGAACTGAGTGCAGGCATGTTTTGGCACAGCGGTCCTTTTGTTGTCCTGATGTCATCACATCTTTTCTGCCAAAGTCAAAATTGCCAAGCCGAAGTGATTGACTTTTCAATTCACTTACGGGGACGTTTCTTGGGACCAGTCTCCTTTGGAACTGCCACTGATGCTCTCTTTGGTGTCTTGCTGGGCGTGTCCTCAGCAGGCTTGGGAACTGGCACTTTCGGGGCTGCCTTCGCCTTGGAACTCTTCGAAGGCGGCGGGCGCTTGGCGCTCACCGCTTTGGGCGCGATGCTCCTGACAGGTGTGTGAATTTAGGAACCCCTATAGGAGCTTGAGAACCCGCAAAAAAAACAACGGAGTTAGCCTGGGGAAGTGTGAATATAAATAGGTGCAATGATCGTGCATTCGGTCCTGGCTCTTGACTCCAAATTGAAAGCTTCCAGCAACCTCAAAAGCAACTGAGGGCAAAGCTTTTTACCTGTAAGCAGTGCAGTGGACATATGAGGGCCTAGCGCGCTTCGGGCACTGTCCACCATATCTTTCAAGGCGGTCTCCTTCCTCAGAAAGCGCGCGCATTTCTCACTTTAGAGCTTGTGGCCTACAGTTTTTGAAGATTGCTGAGCTTCTTGATTCTATATATATAATATATATATATATATAATATATATAATATATATAATATATATATATTGGTCTAAAATATCTTCAGAAATCAAAAGAGCTGAAGTGATGTAGGATTGGTTTTAAACATGTGCTGAGGGTTGGACTCTTGGGTGAAGCCTTCCAGAATGCCAGCATTGGCTTCAGCCGAAAGAGCCTCACTCTGCGAATCCAGCTTGGCATACACTTCCTCCAGCTTGTCGCACATCCTGAAAAGCCGGAGAGTGCTCTAGAAGTCTTTGTTCGGAGAAACAATATGCATTCAGTGGGAATGGCTGTTATGTTCCGAGATTCTTGCGGACAAGGGCTGAGTCACCTCCCGCCGCAAAGAGTTTTTTCACTTCTTCCAACTTCCCCATGCGCTTCGTCAAGGCTGTGCTGACTTTCGTAAGCAGGGCTGAGGGTTTGGTGGTGTCCTGGACTTCCGGGTACCCCAGCCGCTTCAACAACTTCATTGTCTCCTGTGCCGAAGGTGGCAAACCACCATCTTCGTCGCCAGGGACAACATCGGCACCGCCAACTGCAGGTGCACGGGGATCAGTGGCATGTGTGATACCGAGAGACCAGCTTCGAACCAGGATTTTATATACTGTACATATGGAATATACCACAATACACATGCTTCTAGAGTTTGGTCAGCTTGTGGAAAGCCAGTACCAATTTAGGCAAGATGTTGCCACAAGCGTTTGGTTGACTCACAATTTATGTGGGCAACCCACCTTCCAGTGGTAGGTCCATGTCGAAGCTCATGTCAAGAGTGGTTTCTTCAGTCTCCCACTCTGCGCTTTCTGAGTGGCCAGCCTTCATCCGGTCCCTGAGTTGGAAATGCAACAAGTGCAAAAACGATGCAGAAAACATATGCGGTTCAGCTGTTGCATCGAGTCAGTCCATGAATGTTAAACATGCTGCCTGTTTAACATATGTTCAGCCAGTCTGAGACAACAGAGTTAAGATTACATGCAAGCAAGCTAGGCACTTTGAATGGCCACTGACTTCAGTCTCCACGTAGTAAGACCACTCCTCCTTTTGCGCACTCCACCTGGCAGACATGGCACTAAAGCCACAAGTTAAGTTGACCCAAGACCGTTCAACAAATGCAGACAAGAACCAAACCGTTCTTGGTTTTGAAGTTTCGGGGATCAATATGCGGACCTCATCATCTTCTTTGGATTTGCTTTTGCACGGGCGATGATGTTCTTCTTCTCTTTCCTATAGCACCGCAGGAAAACACATATTGTTTGTTTGCTGCAGTATGCTATATTCATTTGGAAAGTTTGAAGCATTGCAGGAAAAATTCAACATGAAACTCATCGAAGTTTCTCCGATCTATCGCCAAATTGGCTTTCAGTGAGGAAGGTGAAATACACTCCGAGTTCAGTCTCTTTCTCGTGCTCTTTTTTGACAGAATGGCGTTTGACAAAGGTGTCGGTGTCATTCCCACAATCAGCGAACAGCCGAAACACTTTCTCCCGGCTCCCTTCTTCCCAAAGCTTTCGAACCTCTGAGCTCACCTTAAACTCCCCCTTTGCATTGGGCTCCATCGCCCGTCGGATGCGACGGTCTATCGCCCCCTGACTCAGCGGAGGGGGCCCAGCTGGGGGTGGCATCTGCTGTGGTGCAGGCTTAGGCAGGGCCACAGGAAAAGGTGGCAAAGTCTTTGAAACCTTGTTTTCCTCAAAGTGTTCCTCCAAAGGCTTGGGAACAACTGGACTCGAAACCTTCTGGGTCTCAGGAAAGCGACCTTCTTTTTCTGGGGTTGACAAGATGCCGGATTTCCCACGCTGCAACGGGGATGGAGACGGAACGGCCATAGGTTCCTCATCATCTCCTGGTAGCCGATCTTGCTGTTGTTCGCCTCGGCCAGGCTCTCCACATAGACCAACCCTGTACAAAAAAAATCGATCAGCAAATATGTTGTTCATTGAACTTTACTCAATGGGTGATCTCCCAGAAAAAACTTTATAGGCATTGACTGGGAAATGTTACGATATGAAATGATATGGTATGAAATGGCAAGATACTTTATGGGATGATATGATGTTATATTATATTATGGTCAGTGTAATGTGTTCTTGTCATATATCCCTGGGATCCAGCGCTTGGGAGAGTAGCAGCACCTTCTAGGTTTAATCTTTGGCACCTGACTCTGATATTTTTTGGGGTGTGTCCCAGACCAAAAAAAAACATGTGTTTTTGGAACATTTCACAATAAAGAGAACCTTCCCTTCCATGAGGTGATTTGAGATTGGCACTCGGTGTCCTGAGATCGATTTCTACTCGTACTTCTGGAGACTCCTGGAAGGAAGGGCCAGGCAGTCATGAAAGAAAAGACCAAGACCTGTCTTCCTCCTCACAGATGGTAATTTTTTTGGTGGTGCCCAGGGCACCCTTTTCCATGTTCGTGGGAACCCAGAACTGTTTTAAAACTGACACCTCTAGAAAGTAGTTTTTAAGGTTCTTGGTCAGTATATGATATGTCAGTAAATAAATTCATTGGATTCAGCTTGACTTAATCTTGTGAAGCAATGATTGGTTTGACACTAACCGTAACAGTCTCGAATGTAAGAACATCCATAGAAAACAGCATGGAAGTGCAAGTCCTTGTCCTGATCTTCCTGGGTCTGCTGCGCAGTGGAGGGCGCAGCATTGCGATGGGCATCAAAGATTCCCTGGTTCAGGGCCTGACAACGACATCGCCTTGTTTCGGAACTAGTGCGAAAGGGATGTTAGGGAAAAAAATCAAGGCAAGTGATGGGATAGCCTCTAAGCGAAGCTTCAACTCTTTCTCTTCATCGTCCAAAGGAAACTTTTTCCCCACCACATCTTCCATAGGGGCAGCCATGAGGTCCAACCCTTCTGCTAGAGTAGAAGAGCTAGACAAAAAACTCTTGCTGTTCATGTTCACTGTGCAACCCTTGAGCCAGGATTCAAACAGAGCTATTTTCAATTTGAATTGCCGAAAAATGCACAAAAATGAGTCTGAAATCCATTCCGGGAATTTCCGCGTTTGTTCCGCGGATTTCCGCGTTTGTTCCGGTAATTTCCGCGTTTGTTTTCGGGGTGAAAAATGGCAAAAAAAAGTGAAAATCCATTTTTGGAGGATGAAACTGCCAAAATCAGGAGAATCAGCTGGAAATTTCTGGAAAGTCTTGGTCAGCCCAAAAAAATCTGATTGGAATCGAAGTTTTCCTTTTTTCTATATGTGGTTTTCACACTCCAGAAATTCCCATGGTCCAAGTCGCAGTGCCTTTCACAGATCCGCTGCAGACACATCCTCTGTCCCCTAGGAACAGAAGCTGTTCAAAGTAGCTTCATCGACAGGAATTAATTTCTTCCACTCTTGTGGAAGGCAAATCAATTTACTTCTTCTCAAATAAAACATGGTTTCCTTCAAATTTGCACCATCCCAGGCAGCAGTCTGGGTCCATGCCAAGCGCTCGAAACATTCATGGAGAGGGCCAGACACCTGACAGGGTTTTGAAGTTCACCCTGAACTGGCACTTTCTCAGCACGTTTCATTCTCCAATGTTTTTCGCTGAATAGGATAAATGTTTCCCAAAACTGCATGCGCCTGAGGTGTTTTTTTGAATCTTCCAGAAAAATGCTGGAAAGCTGGGATGTTCTCAATCACTTTCGATGCAAACCGCAGGGGGTAATGCCTCAGATAGGGAATCAACTGGTAGAACCCCACTAGATTCGCATGTCCCACCATTAAATTTGACAGGAAGAAGAGAATCCGGAATAAGTGAATTCAAGTTACTCAGTGGATTTCAGGTGTCGGCTCCCACTGTAGCCACTCTTGCCGGTCTTCTTGGAAACATATCGAACTGTGGTGGGTGGTCCAGCTTCTTCATTTTTTCGTTTGGCCAAACCATGTGTCGTAAAAGCCCTGATTACTGGGTTATTGGACCATATGATTGACCGCTTTGGGCTCCAATGTCCCCAGCATCCCATCCAAAATGATTGCCGATAGATCTTTATATTCAAATCCCCCAACACCTGAAGTAGCCATTGCATCCTGTGAGTGCCCATTAGCACTGATGATCCCGGCTGCTCCAACAAAAACGTGTTGAAAAGTAAACAAATGACAAGTATGAACAAAGCGCTGCAGGCTGCCAAACAATTTCCCCTTAGCACCGATGCAACTCGTGGGTCTCCATCTGGTAGTGCCCATGATCGTTTGGAAGTGCCAGAATTAATTTGCACAAATGTGCTACACTCAGTCGCCACCAAAGACACCAGCCCTTCGCCACTGTAGAGAAGTAGAGCCAAACATAGACTCAGATATGCCATCATGTGAGAAAGCAAATCAAACAGGTGAACATCAAATACATCAACTACCAAATAGGGACCTCAATATTAGATTAGCGGCATGAAACCGGCAGGCTTCAAAACGTTCAATTTTGGAGAGTAAAGAAAGTCAACTGCCCTTGAGCGGAAGCCAGACCATGATGCCATCCTAGCAGTCCTTGCTCGACCTGAAAAAATCTCCACGAACTGTGAGTTGCAAACTTTTGCAACCTCGTCAGGGCGGAGGTAGGATACCATGATCAGAATTGCCACAAACTCCTGCAGCAGGAAGAACGCATACTACTTGTTGGCCCCAATACACATCCCCAAAACGTTGTAGAATATGTGTTGTTTGGTGAAACCCAGTCCTTGGGGATATCGGGTATGAACATCAATCGTCTAAGCAAAGCTTCATGGGCTGGGCGCATGGCTGAAAGAGGTATGGAATCCCAAATTCGAATCCGATTGACAGCCGGCAAAACTGCAGAGAAAGCGTAAAAAGTATATTCCATGTGCATGCGCATGCACTGCATATATTTAAAAGGTCAAGTAGGGCGCACAAGCAGGCAGGGAAGACGCTCTTCATCATCCAGCCATCCGCGGGAGGCCATGAAAGCATGGCCCCTTTTCATCACCTGCGTCGGGCGCGGCTGACAGAACATAAGACCCATGGGGATACTTTACAGGGTAAAGGGCTGGTGTCAGAAAGAGCTGGTATGAGTCAACCAAAGTAAGTTTGCACCTTCTTTTTCTGCTCTGCCCCGTTTGTTGCACACTTGACATCTGAGGTTGGCAAGGTTTGTCCCTGCGCTAATTGAAGTAGCGAAGCTTGGAATTCAAACTTCACACATATAGGAAACCCCAAAGTTGGATCTAGGCAGTCGGAAAGCAACTGCGGTCCAATCATGAACGCTTTGTCCCGTTTGAAAAAATGGGATCTTCGGATACCGGACTACAACATATTGGCATACCCATCAGCCAGCTCCACCATCAAATTGCCCAAGTTCTCAGAAGTGGAAGCCTTGATAGCCTCTTTGTTTCGGACCTTGCAATACTTCCAAAACTTGTCCTGACACCCCACATTCTAAATGTAAAGAGGTGTTACAGTAAGCAAAGTTACAACTTTGTTGAAAAAAACGCAAACTTGAGAAACCCTGGGCTGTAGCGTCCTCGTGCTTGGCCTGGGGCTTGAGGTGAGCCAAATTGACTCGGTAGGCTTCACGGATAGCCTTCCATTCTGCGAACCCTCTTTCACCCTCAGGTGGGTTCCGGCGAGCAAAGCTGATAGCTTCACCCCGGGAAGCCCTCTTGCGCTGGCGGGGTGCGCTCTTGGGTGCTGGTTTGGCGCGCTTAGTCTTGCTTCCATGCTCTGCATCGTCTTTGCGGGTGCTGCGCTTGGGGGGGGTAACAGGAGCATCTTGCTGTGCTGCCTCCTCCTGATCCTGGTGCTCCTCAGCCTTCCTCTTGCGCGTGGTCTTTTTGACCTGGGAACCTGCACCACCTTCCTTGTGGGCTTTCGCCTTTGCTTTTGCCTTCGCTTTGGGGGTGGCCTTTCCTCGTGCCTTCGCCTTCGCCTTACCCTTTGGCCTACCTGGCCTACCTCTTGCCTTAGCCTTTGCCTTAGCCTTTGGCCTCCCACGTCCCGAGGGCTTGCCCTGTTCCTCAGAGGCGTCTGCAGCTTCTTCTTCGGGAACTGAGCGGAACTGGTCCAAACGAGACACCGGCTCCTAAGGGGTTGGCACTGCTGTTTTGTTTGTTCCCCTAGTGACCCAGAATATATTTATAAACCCATAATATAATCTGGTATCCCCACAACGGTTGATTGATTTTATGAACATTTTGGTGCGTCTACATAACATATAAATGTCCTAAAATGGTGCTGCCCAAAAATCACAAGGTTCAATAACGTTCTAATTTTAGATGATTTCGGACACCCGAAGTTGAAACATCTTTTGGGGGATATCTACTTAATGAACTCTTGGCAAGTACAAAACAGTGGGCCAAATTAGGCACACAACCTTATCCTGGTGGTCCAAAGCATTGAACCCATCCGTCTTGGGCGTCCCATCCAACGTTGCCGCAGGTTCAGCAGCGACATCAGGCTGGCCAGGAACCTCAGGAACTGATGCCTGCGGATCAGCCACGGGAGGCAAGGATTCCACCTTGGTATCTTTGGGGTCAGCAATGGCGGAGCCATCCAAATCATCATCCACCGTCTCTCCCAAAACCAGGGTGGGCAAAGTCAGGAGTGTATCAGCCTCCTTGGGAGGTGACACCGGCGGTGGAGAGCTGGGCAAGGCTGCAGAAGCCAGGTAAGGGTCAAACGGCAAGGTGTCCACCAGATCAGGATTCACACCTGCCCAAAGGTCAAAGGTGAGCATGTTGGTTATAAGAGTAGCTGGGAATGATATACCTTTTCAATGACACTGGATGAGGTGGAAATGTTCCATATAACATACTTTTTCTTGATTGTATCATAGTGTATATATATATATAGACATGTTATATAGGTAATATGCCT